GGGACCCCGCAGGTCTGCGGGCCTGTTGGGCCTGCTGCTTCTTACCGGACCAGTGGAAAATAGTAATAAACCTGGACAGCTAGAGTTAAGTTCAGCAAAACGTACAAAGCAAAATTGTATTAACAACAGCGAGGGGAAAACAGTTTGATTGTTTCTTCCTTTGGTCCTTTAGGCACCGAGGGCTGCAAGGAGGAGCTGCTGTGGCAGCCCCAGCGTTGATTTTAAGCACACGTGGGGGTTGGAAGGGCAACCTTATCGGCTTCAGGAGGAGAGACACGCCGTGCAACTCACGCTGCTGCTTGGGGAGAGTGGGACCGCAGCATGACAGCCCCTAGCAGTGCGTGTCTGTCACAGGAGCAGGTTGTGCGCTTCGCCGCAGTCAGCTCTGCCACATCCAAGTATTCCTTTCATCTGCTGCCCAGTTATTGAAACATGGTACTCCAGTCGTCATTAAAAAACTGCTTTCAGCTATCCTGCATCCTCAGGACTCCAAAAGCTGCCTTCAGAAGCACAACCAGTGGAGGCCTCATTATCCAGTCTATTTCTAATGACGTTTACCAAAATCTAGCTGTGGAAGACTGGATCCATGACCACATGAACTTAGAAAACCAACCTGTACTTTTCCTGTGGAGAAATGCCCCTGCTGTGGTAATAGGGAGGCATCAGAATCCCTGGCAGGACTTTTCAGGAATGCAACCTCAGGCTAATGAGGCAAAAAAATATAAAGTTAGCCAGGAGAAGAAGTGGAGGAGGGACAGTTTACCATGACTTAGGTAATATCAATTTGACTTTCTTTACAACCAGAAAAAAATACGAACGAATGGAAAACCTGAAGCTAGTGGTGAAGGCACTGAAGGGCTTGCGGCCCCGGTTAGACATACATGTCACCGACAGGTACGACATCTTGCTAGACAGGCAGTACAAAATCTCAGGGACTGCTGCAAAACTGGGAAGGACAAGTGCTTATCACCACTGTACCTTACTCTGTAACGCTGATAGGTTTGTACTGTCTTCTGTGCTCAAGAGTCCTTACACAGGGCTAAAAAGCAATGCCACTGCTAGTGTGCCTGCCTCAGTGAAAAATCTCCTTGAAGAGGATCCTAGTTTAACGTGTGAGATGCTCCTGGATGCCATTGCTGAAGAATATGCTACGCAACACCAAATAGATCATCATATTACCTTGATAAACCCAGCTGATGAGGCTGTGCTTCCTGGAATTAATAATAAAACTGAAGAACTACAAGCCTGGGAATGGGTATATGGGAAGACACCAAAGTTCAGCATTAGCACTTGTTTTAACATGGTCTATAAAGATTCTGTTCTTGATGTTAAAGTAGATATGGATGTCAAACATGGAAGGATTGAAGTCTGTAACATTGATCTGCCAGAGCAGTGGCTGCCACCAGCACTGTGCAGCGAACTGGTGAAGGGCCTTACTGGCAGCAAGTTTTGCCCAAATGAAACCACTACACTAGCAACAACATTACTAAGAGTGTGTCCACAAGACGAAGAGTTGCACAACAGGTGGAATCTGCTGTGTGAGAATATGGTGATGCTAATGTGACTTGCACTTTGAAAATGTAATTTAAACTGCTGCTGCTTTTTTATCTAATTTATTGAAGACAAAATCAAAACATTAATTTCTACAAGCTGTTTTTTTTTTCCTTTTATTAGTTATTAAAGCTGTTTAATCTTGTGCTTTGGCTTAATATTACCTACTAGCAATTGGATTTCACACTCCTGCACCCAAGGTTCCAAACTGCAGAATGGCAGTTTTCATATTAAATAAAAAGAATAGCTCAGTATGAAGTATCACTCTGAAAGAACAGCTCAAGGTGTATTTCACTGCTGTTGCTGAATAAGCAGAATGCAGTTTTATCAGGTCAGAACAGAGGCAGTGTGTTGCTACAGCTGTATGAGAGAACCTAGCATAGCAGTGACAGACTGCTGATGGGAACTCTGCCCAGGTGATGCAGCTGCAGAGTTTATATACTTCTGTGTTATACAACTTTCTTCACCAAACTGCCCTTGAGTAGTATAGTTAAATTTGAAGCAAAAAAGGCATAAATTAACCCTTTTGAGGTGTGTCTGTCACATTTGTGAATGGATGATCGAAGGGCTGGAGCACCTTCTATCAAGACAGGCTGAGAGAGGCTTGGAACTGTTCAAGGCTAAGTTGGACAGGGCTTTGTGCAATGTGGTTTAGTGGGAGGTGTCTCTGCCCTTGCAGAGGGGTTGGAACTAGATGATCTTCTACGTCCCTTCCAACCAACACCGTATTCAGAGATTAAGGGCTTATAGGCAAAAATTGCAGTGCAGCAGTAACTGGTACATCACCAAAGGCTTAGTTGAGCATATGTACCAATATTGAACATCTATGAGACCTGCAAGGAAAGCAGCAGTCTTAGTTACTGAATTATAGTCTAATTAGAAAACAGAAAAAGTTCTAGCAATGAACAGGCCAGAGGGGAAAGACCATGCTTGCCTCTCGTGGTATTTGTAGAGGAACATCTCATAGGGACATTCTACTAGAAGAGAGACACACATTGTATTATAAGATGCTGAAAGCACGAAGATTTCCATTTTGATTTCCAATTCAGTACTAAAATTTAAAGTTGATCTAAAATACTTAAGGTGGCTTTTTATTTTGCCCCTGTGTATGTTTGAAATTGCTGGACTAGGCTAAAAGATACAAAGCTTCACATTTGAGAAGCTTACAGTATTTATAGTGAACCTTCTTCCAAACACAGCTGATGTACAAGGTGTTTCCAAGCTTCCTCAAATTACCTACCTCAAATTACTCTACTCTGTAGAGTGCAGAGAAGAATTCAAAGAGATGACTAAAATTACAAATAATAAAAACCTTTATTCCCATTAAAAAAAATATACACAATTGAATAAAATTCAGAACAGTGACTAGAAACCTAGTATCACAGCAGCAAGCTAGGGAGCCTCTATGGAATGCATTGGGGGACCAACTGGTAGCATTCAGCTTCTGTGGCACATATGTTAATTCTTTTTGCTGAGGTGACACTGAAAAGCTGAGACATTATTATGCAAAAGGATAAAGAAAGCACTGGCAAATTGTGACCCAAGGAACAAGGCAAAGACCAGCTCTATTTCTTCATGGTAGCTGTGGAATAGTTTTGTTGCATTAGAGGCAAGAGGAAAAGAAGAGCAGCATTAGATGACCAAAGGTGAAAGGAAAATAAAGCAATTAAAAAAAAAAAAAAAAAAGGATAATAGAATACTCCTGCCATCAGAAAAAAATAAACATAGGAGAAAGAAAAAAGTTTTAGCAGTGAACATGCATGGAGCCATCTCATAATCCAGGATGCAGGAACTATAAGGCACCTGTCAGTCCTGAGGCTGAATAGATTTTGAGAGGGCCTACAAAGGAGGCCACTGCCTGTTCTTCCTGTCAGAATATACAGCTTTGCCAGATTTTTGCTGACAGTGATCAAGAACTCTTGTATAAGAAAAAAAAGAAGTAGCAGGTCAGGTGATACCTTCCAATTTCCAAAAGATAAAGACAAGACAGGACAGGAAGACTTTTGTCGTTTTTCCAATTAGCATATTCCTTAGAATAATTATTAACAAGAACCTTTCAGGGTATCTAACTTCTGGAAGAATTAAAAAAACAATTATTATTATTTTAGGGGACTATCTTAGTAGCAGGAAAATAGCTTACTGCCATTCAGATTGGAATGACTAGCTGAAAAGACATTAAACTTACAAGTCAGGGAAAAAGACTGGGAGAGGACCATACAGCTTTTCCACACCTAATGCAAAGGATGGAAACGAGGAATATGACCATACATCACAGAGCAAACAAACACGTAGGAGTGACAGTGAAAAGAACACTGCTGTTTGCATCCTTTCCAGCCCAAAATCCATCATGCAGAGACAAATAAGGCAACACAAAAATGTCTGTGTACTGAACACTACAATGTTTATACATAAAGAGCTTGGAAAATGGAATGTTAGATTTGGGGTTACAAATGAAGTCTGTGAAATCAGGTATCAGAGACCAAAACACAGCAGAAGAGTATTCATTACTAGAAAACAGGAATTAAAGGAAATAAATAAGGCTGCTTATAAAAGAGGACACGTGGCAGCCCAGCTTCAAATGTTTGTGAGGTGGTCAATTATGGATATAAATAAAAAAAAATACTCAAGACAAAATTAATAGTAAAAATAGAAATTACATTTAAGAGACTTTTGAGAGCACTGAGGATCTGTTATGAAATCAGTATCAAATTTAGATATGGATTGTATTAAGAGTATGGGAGAAGTACAGTGGAGTGAATATTCTTAAACCTATAGATTATAAAAACTTTGCTGGACTAAGTACTTAGAAGAGTTGCTTCTGAGGGTGGTCAGCTGTACTCAAGCAGCATCTTCCAGTCTTAGATTTTTATGCTTATAAAAACACTCATTAAAAGCAGTCAGCTCTGATCACATTTTCTTTGTATGTTTAGTATGAAAGACATCCACTGTTGTTTCATGACAAGGTCGCAAGTCAAAGTCACAGTATCCAATGCTGAAACGACCCTGCAGAAATTAACAGAATTGACATGGTGAACACAGAATGAACTCTTCCACAGTCTTAAGTTAATTAAAGAGGCTAAAGCATTCTTACCTGTGGTTTCTTAAAATAGTCAAGACCCCTTCCGATCTTAATCATCCATCCATTGTTGAATCTGTTTTAAAAATTCACAAATTTGAATAGTGTATGTTGAATAAAAAACCCAGTTATATGCACATGATCCACAAGCTCCTTGTTTCAATGAAAAGTACTTCCTGGTGCAGCAAATTCCTGTATGAGCCATGGAAGACACTGTTCTGTCTAAAGAGACATCTACTATTATGTTCACATAATGACAAAATGAAGCTACAGAGGGGCTGATTTTACCAAGCGTGGGCCACTGCCTTCCACTTTGTTAACCACAGTGGTCATTAGAAAGAGTCTGATAAGTTAAGGAGAAGTAGTATGACTTCAAATAATTGGTGTTTGCTTTTTTTTTTTTAAATCACCCACCTAATTTCTCGATCATGTATGGAAGATGAAAATGCAATATTCAGTGTTACTCCATAATTCCTCAATGATTGTTGTATTTCTTCCAAGCCGCTTATCTGCTGACTCCTCCCACTACCCTGTTAAAAGTAAAAATAATATGATAGGGCGCTTTTTTTTTAAACATATATTCTACTTCTGGTCACCTCTTCCTAACGTCACCAACAAAGCCTTTTTAGTAGTAACTTAAATCAGAAGCAACTAAATTGAGTGAAGGCAGACTTGCATATTCAAAGGCAGGATAAAAAGCAGACAGACTTGAGGTACACTTGCCAAGGGATGTGGAGGAGGAGCTCATTCTCAGCCCGTTGAAACAAGATATAAATTACTATTTAAGCCCAAGCACATGCAGTGAGAACTTCAGAAGTTTTTTACTCATCAAAGCCTCTAAAATGACAACTATATACAGCTTTTGGAAGAGGAAAAAAAAAAAGCTTATCTCAATAGATACTTTGGTTTTGATGACATTTTCCACAATAAAACTTTCACCAAAGTGCATTTTCCATTTAAGATGCTGCTTACCGAGAACTTGTTAAGAGTTATCAGAATTAAACTCTGAATTAAAGAAATTACTTATGTTCAACGATCACATTTTTATTTTTCTCTTAATCTGTGTTTTCTACTGAAGGCATCAGAGCCTCAGCTGAACAAGTGCTGGTAAGTAAGAACAAATCTGTACTTGAAAATAAGCATTTTATATATAGGTGTTTACGTGTGGTATGACCTGCAAATCTCCTACAAGGAAACAGAAACTAAAACCTAGAACACTTACTTCATCGCAGGCAGTGAGGAGGTGGATTGTTTTCACTTTGCACGGCCCCTTAATTAGCATCTCGCAGAACCGCAGGAAGTTGTACAACTGCAAACACTTCATTTAATTAGTGACTTGGAACTTTTAAGCAGCTACACCTGTACCAGTTACGCCGAGTATCTACTTGCCTGATGGACCTGCCTGATGTACGGGTCCTCCACCCAAACTTCGGAAAGGACTTCAGTCAGGTACTCCTGGAAAAGCTTCTCGTAGCCGAACCCTGTTGCGTTTTCCTCTATCCTGATCTGCTTGTGGTACTTGCCGTCTGGAAAGAAGCCTCCTTCTCAGTGCGGGTCACGACACACCTGCCGTGCCGGCCTCCCCGGCCCACGAAACCTCCACCTAACAACAGGTGCTTGAAGGGGAAGGAAGGGCCGCAGCTCCTACCTTCCTTCTCCTTCTCGATGTGCCTTTTAATGTCTTCAGCTCTGCTCATGTACTCGGATATTTTCTGCCGGTACCGCTGCTTCTTTGGCTCCTCTTTGGTGGCTGCGGATGGGAAGCCGAACGGGCCGGTTCTGGGGGAGCCGAACCGAGCCCAGCCCTGCCCGGGCCGCGCTGCCCTGGGGCCCCAACGCGCCCCGTTCCCCCTCACACCCCCCCCAAGGCTGCGCCGCCGCTCCCCGGTACCTTTCACCACCCGCAGCCGGGGGGCGGAGC